ATTCAGCACGGAGAAGGTGCCTGAGCTATTGGCATGGCCCAAAAGGCCAGCCCACCCAGCGAGGTACAAGGAGGCTAATTCAAAGTTCAAAAGTGGCGCCTCATCAGAACCGAGGGATAAACCACTATCGTATTACATGATGCCATGGTGCGAGGACCATCTCCAGATAGGATATAGCGAGTGCAGTGACTGAGTTGTTCGCTCAGTTTTACGCACAAATAATTACGATGTTAAATCAGCATGCATTAGCTTACCCATAAATCGATAATGCAGGGTTTGGTTCTTAGAATTTTTTTAATAAACCTCTTACCTGATATGTTGTGGGCTTTAAGATACTAAGGCTTATGTTTTCGGTTCATTTGTTTCTTGAATTTCTGACTCCGTAGGATGATTACAATTTTACTGTTGCCCTTTTCGTTGTGTATGGAGTTAAATGCTAAAAGTATTTACTAATAATTGGAATTAGTAGGTTTTAATGTTCGAAGTTTTTAGCTGCCCTTTCTCAGTGAGTAATAGAAGGTTAATGGACTGAAATAATCAAATTTATTCGAGATTGTCATTAACTTTACTCATTCAAATGTGGGCGTGGTGACAACTGGATTTCTCTTGATTTTACCCAGTGTAGGTACAGGTGATTAGTTATATATCTTTCTGTATTGCAAGAATTATAAAATATAACTTGTAAATAGCAAAATGTACAAACAAATTTTGTTCTTAAAATTGGGCCTTCTAAAAAATGTCTTTGTTATAATTGCCACCATGCTTTACATCCAAAATGACTTCTTACTTCCCTAGTTACGTGGTTCTCGTCCTTTTAAGTTTTTATGGTTCAAAATCCTACTTCGTATTTGAGACCCCTTACTCGTTTTGCTTGTTGGAACGCCTACAAATGGATAGTATGGATGCGACCTATTTTCAGATTGACGTTAATGAAACGGTAGTAGTTACTGACGGCAGTCTTGAGTCTTTGCAACTATCGAGAAGCGGGTATACCTTTAAGTGCACCTTTCAGTATCTTGGGTTTCGGGAAGCCAGCAGACCGTATGTTTTGTGCTGCCGATGAACCTAAGACTATGCAAATAAAATGGTATTCTGAGCAACGAGTAGTTCGTTTGTACTTGCAACTGTGCATAAAACGAATATTTTGACGTCTTGTTCTCCATTTCCTCTCTTAAGTAATCATATTTGTTGGCTAAAACGCAATCATTGTGGGATCCTGACCTTCACCACTTTGCTCACTTTAAAATTTCTGCAGTTTGAAATCACTTCTTCATGCTTTTTTGAAGGCATTCTATTATGCATTAAAGCTGTCAGTCTTGTTTACTGTCTTTTGTCAGTAGTATATTGCGTTCACGCCTTTAAAACATCCCAGTTTTTTAATGCCTTTTGAGACTGACAATGCGCTTTTATCATCAACGAAATTTATCACTTATTTTTGTTGATATTAAGGAAATTCTAAAAATCTTCTTAGCCTTCTATGATGTCACGATTTTGCGTACTCTGTCACAGTTTCATAAAGATGTTGAACCCATATTAGTCTCCAATTTCAAAACATCCAAATAAAAATACTTATTACGAAACAAATCGTTCTCTGTTTACTGCATTAAACACCTTTTTATTCCCTGCACGCCCCAAATTTTCGCGGGAGGGCTCAATGTGTACTGAGAGCAAACACATCCAGCCAACTAAGACTGTGTAACGCTCAGAGACCTCCCTAAAGGCGAAAGAAGTCATAATCCAAGGCAGCATATGTATTGCTGACGTACAGAAGGGCTCGGGGTCACTGGCATGGCCCGGAGGCCAGCCCGCCCACCAAAAATGTCATGGTGGGGGCCTAAGTGGTCCGTCTCTAGAACTAGGAGTTAAAAAACATTTAAAGTATTACGAAACTCCTCTTCTCTTTTAAGCGCTGACCATCATAGTGTAGTTGGTACTGTCAGAGAAGCACCCGCAAGCCATCCATGTCAGTCATGGAACAGGCGTACAACTGAGATATTTGACCGCCACGTCACTGATTCCTCTTGACAATTCCACTTGCTCTGGAGTTTTGTCCTGTTTGATAACTGGATTTAGGGAAGGGAATTGTGCTGGCCATCTCAAATGTCCATCGTTAGTTGTAAGAACACTAGCCTTAAAGCAGGATCATAAAACAAAGTGCAGTATTGAAAATGGTGTCTTGGGGATAAGGTTTCGCGTCTGTTCCCCGTCTCTACGTTGCTCTCACCTCAGTGCTGGCCAACTACATCTATCTGGGTTCCATCCGTCTAGTAGAAAAGTAGAGGAGATATAGCGATTTCACTTCACTGACATCTGTAAAAAATATTTGGAAATGGCTCACGACCATGAATAGTGTCAATGCAGTTGTTGATATCTTTTTTGAAGATTACAGGACTCAGATAGTTGCCGGAGATTAACGTCCTTTGCAGCCTTTTGTTGCGGGTCGTCACCACCTCTCCCATCCATGATATATGCACTTCTTCCACCTCCCTCCCTCCCTCCCCCCTAATGTTTATCACTCAGCAGTAGAAATAATGATTGATGTCCTTTGGGACTGAATTCGCTTTCTACTGCCGCCAATGTGGTGCCCCGAGACCTACCTGAAGGCGAAGGAAGATCTAATACTCGACATTTAGTAGGGGCTTGGGGCTACTGGCATGGCCCGGAGGTCAGCCTATCTGGCGAAAGCACAATGACGGCGGCGAAAGTAACCCCCTTTACCAAAACCAAGTGCTAAAAATCCAACGCATAACATTTGTGCCAATTCCACAAATTACTAAATACCTTGAAAACATGGAACTAGAAGCTAAGTTGGTGTTTTTTTATTTGTTCCTAAGAATCCTTAGGCTCTTGCATTACTACGAGACATTGTTATGGCGTATGGGTTCAGTATACAATATGCTTGTATCATATGGGTACATTTTAATAGGTAAATGATGCTAGATAGACCTAATTTGTGCTTTAAACTAGACAAAATTTCTTCATAAAATTCAAAGCTTATTATCCTAATGCACTAATCTAGCCAAAGTGTGCTCAAATTATCTTGAGCAGGATGTGCTCGTAACTGAGAATGACGGGGTTAAGTTCTAACCATCGCGAGATCTGCTATTCCGTCAATCATGTCACTAATAGAAGCATGAAATTACGCAAATTAGATAGGAGGCAATTCCGTGTTTCGCGAAAAATAACACAAAACAAGCTCAACTCCTTCTGTTCCTGGGAGCAGGTAGAGCACACAGAGAAGGAGTGAAGAGGAGAAGAGGATGATTGATGGGACTCATGTCTGTTCTCCACCCCACTTTCCGTCTGTCTGTCCTCATCGCCGTGTGCACTTGCATGCACACATCCACCCATACATGCTTGACAGCCTGCTCAAGCCTTTTAATTTCACGGTGACCTGTCCATCTGTGTCCCCTCTCCACCCGACCATCCATCCATCCATCTCGCTCTGTCTCTTGTCTGTCCGCCTGTCCACTCTAATTCATTCATCTCGTTCGCTATCTCACCAGTTCACTCTTCCTCTAATGCTCCTGCCTGAGCTGCCAATTCAACATGTCAATCTGTAAGCACGTAGGAGTCACAGCTCCTCAGTCCTCTCTCCCCCTCCCCCTTCCATGTACCCCCCCTGTTCCCTCCTCCTGCGTCTGCTAAAACGACAACTCGTACAGCGTTTCACCATTAGCAGTAGTAGACAAGAGACGAGTAGGAGGTTGTGCATTCATGGACGCACGCAATCGTATGCTCCTCGCCCCGATTGACAGCCTCTATTTTCAGCCTGACAGATTTATTCACTTTCTCTCCCTCCCTCTCCACTACAAAAGGTTCACTCTGGTGAGCGAGATCCCCATCAATCGACTTGTGAATTTCCCACTTTTTATTGTGCTGATTTAGTGTTGAAAGTTTTTGAAGTGAGTGAAATTTAGTGAAATGGCGACAGCATCATGTGCCTATTTGAATAGAAACCAGAAAACAAACGAAACCGGTTTTTCTTTGTTAACGAGAGGGCGCTTAATGCATTGGCAGTTAATAATGAGGTCTAATGAACCATAAATTCTCATAATCCCCTTATTCTGTTACATCGAACATTTTCCCACCCCCTGCATCTGAAAAACTTATGCGCTCACCAAGTTTTTAAGGTAACAGTATTTACAGGTTCGGAATATCTTTAGTCTCTAACATATCCATTTCCACGCTGGTGGTGTGAAGCTGTACCTGTGTCACCTGTGCTACTGGTCACCCGATCCTTCTGGATACTACACTGAAACATTACTGAAGGGTGCCACCTTCGGTGAACGGTTGAATCGGCGAGAATCCCGGTATTGGGGATTGGCCAAACTTTGTTGGACCGCAGCGATCACCCTATACAAGAGGATTGATTCCGTCCCTAGAAAACTATCTACAGTGATGCAGTGATCATGACCTAGGGGTAAAATACACTTTTCCGATATTAATTTTGCGTAAGATGTAACGAAAAAAGTGGATTACAATGGCGGTGTGTCCCTTACTTTGATCATTTCCACACTGTAAGGCCCTGTTCATGCCTCCGACGCAAGCAATCTCCCAGACCTTGTTATATGACCCTTTTTCAGGGTCTGTTTTCCTTGTACTAGCATCTTCCCCCCTTCCCCAAACAGGGCTAAAGCCCAGATCCAGTGACAACGCCAAGAAAGATGTGTGACGTAGTAGATAAGTATCTTCACATTACAAGAGAATCCAGTGGCTGGCCCAGCTGGCTAGCAGGTTTTATCTTATATCACCGGATGCGTTTTGGTGGCTGACGCGAAAGGTCGACCGAAGGGAGCCCGGGGGAGGACATTCAAAAGAGGAGAGGGGCTATGTAATACGTTGGTTGTTTGTTCAACTCTCGGTTTTGGTAATGGGCCACTTAGGTGCTCTGCTATTGTACGCCCGCCGAGGAACCCAGTTGCCAGGCCATACCAGTAGCTCGATCCCTTCTCCATGTCAGCAAACATGCTCGGCTCCAAGTAATATATCCTCTTTCTACTTCAGGGAAGCCTAAGCTCTCTGCATCTTAAGTAATGTGCGTATGTAGTAAAGCTATTTCCAGGTGTTATGCCTTCTGGGATAACTTGAATCCTGCTTAAAGCTAGGTAATTCGATGTCCCAACAATGTCATATTGTACCAATCGTGATGAATGTTCTCTCCTACTCGGTAAAACATCTCTTAAAGCAGCTTTATTGTGTTCTTTTGAAACATATGATTCTTTAACAGGTTATGGGATTTATCAAGTGTAGTCAACACTTTGGACGTGCTTTGAAAACAAATGTAACGATATCGAGCACAGTAGTTTATTTCGTTTGGCAGTAGAGGATTCAGGCTTAAGCTACGTGTTTGCCCATAAGTTGGAATTCAGGGTTTCATATCAAGTGGACATTAATAAACTCTTTTCTCTGTGCTTCGAAAAGTGAGTTTGGGATGCCGAAATCCTTTGCTTCACCTCACTCTCTCTCTCTCACCCACATGATGTGGGCTTGCCTTATTTGCACGGCACAGAGATTACACTGCTGCTGGTTGAAAGCACACACACACACACAAGCATAACCCTTCACAGGAAACGCCTGTTGAGGGTGTGTGTGTATGCGGCTTCACGGGTGGCCACTGCCAGAAGCCATTAGGTATTCACGAGGTGAGGAAGCAGCTCGCCCCCTTCTCTTCCCTCCCCTAGCCGCTTTCCCATATCACAGTTTGTGCTTAATTGTACATTCAGGTGGGCGTCAATGGAAAAAAAAGGCCGGGTCGCTTTCATTTATCCTACTGGCCTGTGTGACTTTGAGCGGGAGATGTTAATGGCTAGTCTACAAGTGAGGGGGTTAGGCCGCCACCTACACTGCCGCCTCCGCTGATGCTGCCGCCATCTATTGGTGTGTGCCAGAGAGAAGAAGCCTTTGATAGAATTAATCAAAGTCATTTAATGTTTGGAAGCGTACACACAAGTCCTCTTACATTCTTCGCTACGGCAACTACCATGGGGTAAAAGTATACTAGAAATGTGCGATAGCTTATGTTGTTTCTGTTTGTTTTCAAATGTCATTCTTCATTCTCCATAGGTCTTATGCAAGTATTGATTCGATTTAAGCTCCGACACAGAGATTAAGTCGGTTAGTTAGGGACAAAAGCTTCACCACTCAACAATAGTCAAACTTGGTGCTGAATGTGATGCACTTTGTCTGGTCCCAATACAAAAGCTGCAAATTTTATCTATCCAAGGACTCTTGATTATGATAACGGGCAACTTTGGGGCTTCGTTACTGTTCCTTGTCAGGCGACCTGATATCCGGGTCATGCCAGAAGCCCCTACCCCTTCTTTAAGTCGACACTACATATTCTGATCAAGTAGTATGTCTTCTTTCATCTTCAAGAAAGTCTCAGAACACTGTACTTTATCCTTCTTAGATGTCACCAAACTCTTCGTGTTTGTGAACGAAAAGGGGATCTAAGCCTCCAATGAGGATTTTGCCTCTGTAGTTTAGTAATAAAGATATTCTAAAGGCAAATTATGAATAAGATTCTTCGATAAATCCACACATCAAAGTCGAAATCAAGACTATTTATGTATGTACACTTGGAATCAGATGGTCAAAAAACAGGCGTTGGATAACAAAGTTCAGAGGTGCCGCTCTGAGGAGACCTTGTGGATCTTATCCAACCCTGTACTACTTTACTGAATGGTCTTTAAGACTCTGCGGAGCCCTCAAAATTTTATTTTCCGGGTTGTTTTCAATCAAATGAAAATAAATTACAAGCATATGTCAGTTCCGGCTTCCGAACCCCCATTTTAGTGGTCTTATACGTGGCACATCAGTTAGCTAATTACAAAAAATTGTGCCATGAATTGGTGGCTCAAGTTCCGTTGGACCCTATATCCACCAAACGTTGTTTATAAAAAGGACACTCCAAACCCATAGCCTTAGTTGCTAACCGATGGCTAAAGAACTGAGTACGTAGCAGATGTCACCATATTCTGCGTGTTTTATAGACCCGATTATAGCCTCCGGTACACGATGGCAAGGTTTTAGTGTGGCTGACAAATCAGTTGGGAATATGTAATTACTTCTGTTCCCTTCCCACAAGGTGACACATCACTTTGTTCTGCTAAAGAGGTGAGGAAAATAAATGAAGACCATTAATTCCCCATTATTCATAAACTTACTCAGATTCCATCAAGTATGGGACAACTGGAGGTGCTCCGACTTTCTCTAACCCCTGGTAGTAGCCCTCACGTGGTGGACATTTTCGAACCCTAGCGTTACTCTTCGTATAGGTTCCGTCAGCCGCAGAGGAAAAAAAATACTCTCTGGGTATTAGTGACAGAGGTTTTCATCAGATATTACGTACATCGACTCCCTAACATTGAAGCCGGGTGTCAAAACCACCAGGTGAGGAAATACATTAATCCCATTGAGTTTCGTAGTAGCCACGGCGATTCTAAAGTGGCATGAATCTTAGGTACCAATGTGTTTGAAACTTGAAAAGAACTTCTTGCCTATGCCTGGAGTTTCCCCATTCTGTTAAAAAGAACATCATTACAAACACTGAGATGCTGCAAGAATGATCGCGTTTGTTCAGTGAGCAATTGATGAGATCTTTCTTCATTCCCGCTGTCAAAAGGTGGAAAATGGAGCCTTTTGTCGAGTTCTGGATTAAGAGGACTTCGCAGGAAAGACTGTTCGTGTTCCAGTGAGATCGCCCTTCAGAAGGGGGTTTGAATGATCCCTACCCTGCTTGTTAAGACACATGTGGATTGCAATTGGGGCTAAAGAGGGGTTTTATGGAATGTTATTACCCAAAACTTATACTTCATCTAGGTAAGCATTTCCCTTCTTTTAAAATAGGAAACATTTGCGAATTTCCAAGCCCTAGAGGATGAAGGGGTAAAAAAATTTTGATGAAAACGTGCCTTACAATGCTTTACTTCCTTCCCCTTCTGACCCACAGAATGCAATTGCTCATTGAGAACAACCACCCAAGTGAATGAGATCCAGTCTGTCGCCCGATTTTATGAACTCTCTAATCGTATCCACCACCACTTTAGGCAGTAAATACAACGGCTCTCAGATTGTATTCTTCGAAGCTACTGACAAATTCCTTGTCATTCAAATTTGAAAGCAGTTTCCGGTCCCTCTTGTGTCAAAGGAGCAAGTATTTCACTGGGTGAAGGTCGTCAAAGATTGGTTTAGAGGGCTTTTAATAGGTTGTAGGGATGACCTGCTTCGTTCTTTACCTGTGCATTGCAAGAAAGTGAAGTAGTTATTAGCCCTTCTAGTTTGATTTTATTGGCCTAATCTGCTTGGTTTGTCAAGGCGAGGACTGTCAGCAGGCAATCATTGACATCTGTTATAAAACTTGATGCATAAACTGAGAGAAGGGACCACTGGACAAGCAGGTGTGGTCCTTTTGGTAATCGCGTGAAGCGAGTGAATGAGCCTGACAGTGTTCATATCAGATGGTCAAATAAGATTATGAAATTTCTGATGGAGTTTGCTGCAATGATCTCATGTTAACTTGTAAACACTCATAAAATGCATGCGACAGCTCCTGAACACCATACAATGCAGGTGAGTCTTAGTGCCTCCTTACCCTTTATCGTGCCCTCTTTTATTCCACTAGATATTCATTATTTTGAGCCATTATCAAGGTGTTAGCTAAATCTGATGCATGTGGATCTAGCTTGTCCGACCTACAAATTGCCACTCACTTGGTAGAAGTAGGACCTACTTTTCTCCTTTTGTGTATAGTATTTGGGGAAGTTGTGTTATTTTGTATCCTGTATCCTGTACGTATGAATTATGGTGATGTGATGACCCACTCGAAATTCTGGTAGATCTCCTCACCCACAAATGACCTATTCACACACCACCAGTGTCAATAAATGCAAGATTAACGTCACAATAACAATTTCAGCAGAGTTTAGCATTAAACATCAGTGATGGAACACCCCGGTTACACTCACATCAACTAAAGAACTGTCGTGGTAAGGGCTTAACAAATGGTTGCCACACGCAGTAGCAGGTGAGGGATAGTAAGTTTCAAAGACTATCATCCTACTCTTATTCATCTCTTCCCATATATCAAGGGGGAAATGGTCTTGTACTACAACGTTCTTGAAGCCAGCGAACATACCATCAGTTATATCCTAACAATTCACTCACTACCACTTGCGATCCCAACCCACATTCTTTGAAACCCACACCGCATCTTCCGCACCAGACGATGTGGGGTTTGTGTGTGGGTGGAGTGAGACAACAAATTTTACCAAAATTCTTCTCGTTCTGAAGCTCATCCATAAGAAGACCACATTACCGCATTGTACGATGAGGAAGGGAGGGGGAAAACACTACATCCTCATCCTTTGTCTTAGTATTCTTTCACTAGTACTTCTACAAGCAATGAGTATCACTTTCTCCTGGCATCACACAGCCATATGCCAAAGAGGCAGTATGCGAATAAATTCGAGGTGGAAACTGTATTGGCTAAGAATGGGTCGCCAAATCCGAAGAATAAAAGAAAGTGGAACTCGTACCTAGCTTTTTCCCATTTGGAAAGGATAATAGACCGTCATGATGATCACTTCAGTGAATCAAATATTTTAAGAAGTTTTGGTGCTACTTATAAAACCTGCACAAACTTATTTGTTTATACAAATCAAGGATATGCATTTTAAATTATCTAACATTCTGAAGTTACTTAGCAGGTCCAAATCTAAGAAAGGACCTAGTTGTCTTGATCTACATCCATCGGTCTTCGGGAGGGTTTTCAACCATCACGTTCAAAGTACCATGAAAATTTGTTGCACTCAGCGTCTTTCCTGAAGATGTAATAGGACAATGCTAGGACAGAATATGTATTGTCGACCTACAAGGAGGTTGGGGGCCACTGACATGGCCTAAAGGCCATGCCGCCTCTTGCAAGTATAATTAAGGGGCCTCACGCGCCCGTGATAACAAAATGAGGACTCAACCAAGTAATTAATGCATTACAGAGCTTCTCTCTCCTTTTGAGAGTCGTCAACCTCCCGCAACATTACCAGTGATTCGGAGGTAAAAACGCCCCCAAACCTGCCGCACTAGCCATCGAATTCAGCTGCATCTAGGAAGATATGTGACCCCACGAAAGTTCCATGGAATTTCGAGTTTCATCCTTTTTGAGAAACGTATTAAGGTAAGGGGAAATTGCGCTGGCCATCCCGTATGACTATCGCTAGTTGTAAGAACCCTGGCCTTCAATAAGTCATTCAGTTAAGGACGGGACTTAACATACTTTCGCGGGGACAGGGCTTGGCAGCTGTTCCTCCTTGCCACGTTGTTCTAATTCCAGAACTGCCCATTCATATCTATCTGGGTTCTACACAGGTAGTAGAAAGGTGGAGGAGGTATCGGTTGTTCACTTCATGCTTGGACTGTGGACAGCTTCGTAACAAACACTTTCAGATGGTTCACGGCCACGGCCAGTGTCGCTTCTGCTGTTGTCGAAGGTAGATCCCACTTTCAGCCCTTCCGTTACCAGTCGCCAAAACTTTCCCCGTCCGCAGCGTATGCCCTTCTTCCGTCACTTTGAGGCCTAGCAATCAGGCATGGAAATCAGAGGTGTCCTTTAGGATCACATTTGCTTCCCATGTCACCAATATAACGCCCAGAGGCTTTTCTGAAGGCAAAAGGAGGTGGAACACTATGGCAAAATATTTATTGCCGACGCAAAGGGGGACCTAGGAATAGCCGGCGTGGCCCGGAGGCCAGATCGTCCGATGGAGACAAAGTCACGGAGCCCAAAAAAACCGAGAGTTAAACAAACAATTAAAGTGTCACGAGAAGTTATAAATTATTGCAACTATGCATGAAGTCCACCTGAAGAGACAACGAGGTTGTCGTATGCCACGTTGCGTCGAGGTGGTCATCGAGGTCGATGGTATCGAGCCACACGCATACGAAAACGCACACGTCAAATCCTCAAACGGTAATACATTTCTTAAAAAATAGCCAATTTTACGTGAGTAGAAGTTTTGCTTTCAAACCTCTGAGAATTAATGATCGTGTTATGCTTATGCTTGATGGCTTAGCTCGCCCAACTTGAAATCCTTGCACACTCCCATTCACTTGTTACATTTGCTTTTAATAAAGCCCACCTAAGGCAGAAACCACATGATTTTTCATTTTAAAAGATTTATTGGGACAGGAATATACTCCGATAACCGTTTTATTGAATGACCCTTGCCCTTTGATCACACTCGAATCCTTTGGCACACACTTCCTTTGGTAGTTATTTTTAGTCCTGTGCGAGTGGAATGCCAACTTTTAAATAACTGACGCCTTGCAAAAGTCATTAAATGCCCAACTCAGACAGCTTAGGTATCCTAAGATTAATTTCCAAATTAAAACTCCCCACCCTCCCCCACCCCCAGTAACCCAGCATTAAGCGATTCCCAGCTCCTACAAGCGCACTCGCATCTCCTCAAAACGCCTCAAATCCTCACCTCGGCTATGTGCTGATTCACGTGTGTATGTGTGAGTGTGTCAGCGGCCCCAGAGGCAGTGCCTGTGTCCACTGTAATACCGAGCAATGTGTGAGTCTCTCTGTGTGAGCCCCATGTATGTACCTAGAAAGATAACAATAACAATCTCTGCCTGTACATTTTTGCGGGTGCGAGTAAAAGCCTCTCGTCTCACAAAGGTGGCAGAACTCAATTCCACGCAAATGAGGAAAGGAAAATCTTTGTTTTTCCACCGCCATCATTGCTACTAGCTGCGTTGTGGAGAAAGAGGCTCCATGTCTTTACATCTGTGGCACGGATGCCGTAGAAGTAGGTCGCAATTCACTTACTTATCAATATATTTTTCTCCCGTTTGATTAGACAGAACAAAGCCCCGTCAACATAGTCGCCTGACCCGTTGTGACGTCTGGCTGTTAGATCCGCTATCCCGATTTGTGTAAATGACCTTCCACTTACTGAAGACTTATCCAATTTGTCTTTATGGGGCATTGAATCGTTGATAATACCACTGTTCACTACACTTGACAGTGATGAGCATCTCTGACTGAGACATGGAAGAAAATTAAAATAATCAATCATCAGACAGAATGGGACGGAGAATAAGTAATTATCGCAATCTTAGTTGTTATCAACCTACTTAACCATGCACAAACGTCAGAAGACCGATTTCTAGTGAACCGCCAACCAACCAAACGCTTAATTCCCATTCCTCTGAAAATCAACCAACTCCTTTGATAAAAGTGATGCAAGTCGGCCACGTTTAGTAGGAATGCCGCAGGGTGGGCTCTCTCTGCACTAACTTCCATAACATACGTCTTTTTCTTCCATCTTAATGCGCTTAGAGGCAAGCTGTCAATCATGACAGGCTGTCTGCCATCATGATTTTCTAATACAACAGTCGACTGACAGACAGCATTTGCAGCATTAGCATCAGAATCACCATCTCATACGCAACACAGCAGCAGCATAGTCACGTCCCTCGCCCCTCCCTCCTCACTCTCCAGTTTGTCTTTCCACTGAGCTAATGAAGTGGGATGAAGACCAAACACCCTGGGGAGTGGCGAGGTAGGCCCCATTATTACCCCCTGTGATGGCAGCAGCAACCAAGCCAGCCAGCCAGCCCTCCCACAAATAGCGTTAATTGATGAGGCAGTGTCAGATCGACAACCTACGTCGAGATTAATCGGGACTAGGCTTCTTCTCTTCCTTTCTCCCCATTAAAAGGCCACCACCTCCCTACCCTCCTTCTTTTCTTCCTCCTTATTCATCACCAATTGCCATCAATGCCTCTTGTTATTTAGGCCACCCTATCTGTGAGGTATCGCTAGTCAGAGGGCAGTAAAGCAATATTAGATGATGCAGTGCTACGCAAATTCCGTTTGTTTGTGTATTTGGCAAATGAATATTTGGTCATTTGAGGTGCACTACTTTACCTCTGTCCTGAGGAGGCACAAAAAGGAAGCACGGTAACTTCATTCGTCAACCGAGGTAATCAGTACCTTCTCTCACGAGTTGGATGAGTTGAATGAACATGACCACTGTCTGGTATTCAGCTGAAAAAGAGGCACCAGTCGAATAGGGATGCGAATGTGATCTCTATCCGTCGATTTTCGGGACAGACTGTAAATAAAACACACATATTTATCAATGTTTATAGATAAATAAACGAAAACTTTTCTGAACACCATCATTAATTAGCGCTTCCTTAATAAAGGTGTGTATTTTTTCAACCATTTTGAAATGACAAATCAGGATTGCGCTTCCTCTTCAATGATTTTTAAAACATGGTCAAAGTTTATCATCACCTGAAAGCTACAACTAAAGGAGACGTACTTGTAGTAAACTGTAAAATAGTTATTTCTCCACAGGTGGAGAGCTTAGAGTCGTATACAGTAGAAACTGGTCTCAAATTATTCCCTAAGTTGCACACTACACATTAGCCTTTATCCATTTCATCCCTCCATTGACTGCCATTTCCCTCTTAGACGTTGTTGACGCTTGATAGCAGAGTCTCAGTGGTCTCAGCTCCTTGTCGATTTGACTGAAGTATAGTTTCCATTAGGCAACGAAGTAGAGGAGCCGGCTTGTTGATAGATGGCAAAATGAGCGGAAGGGGAAGGATGTGTGCAGTCTCGCACATCCAAAGCGCGCCTAGGCCAGTGTCTGATTCGGACGCAACACTCAACCACCCTAAACGCGAAACGACAATGGACTGTTCGGTTATCATCCTTGTTAACAATTATAATGCAAATGCGATATTTAGCCATTTGATTTACCATATGTACATCGAGAAGGGGAAACGGGGGGTGTCAGTACCTTTATCTGTGAATGGAATGCCCCGTTTAATCAAAGTTGCGTGTCTTCCTCTTCCAAGTGTTGTTTAGGATGATGGATATTAAATGAGGTATTTGGGCACTTAAATGCTTGTAAGAGGATGCATTATTATCCTCCTAAAGAAACTTTTCGGTTTTATTTTGGCCTTGAGCTTGCATAAATCCAGTGGAATTTGTCACTGGGACTGCTAGCAAACGCGGACGATAGCTTGAAGTTCCGCATTCAGTGTGCCAACAAATTTTCGTTCTAATCATGGAGAGAGACATGCTAATCTTTCTATTTGAGCTAGTAGATGAGTTGAATTTCTCTTCGACAGAAGAAACATGGTGAAAGGTGGCAAGGTTAAAAAATATCTTTCGAGAGTTTACGGTAAAAAAAGATAAGGAAGTGTCAGTTTATGGATATAAAGGAAAAGGAAAATGTACGTTTTAGGTTTTTAGTAAACTCCCGGTAGCATGTAACGAAAATAAAGGCATCACGCGATTCGTGTTTCCCTTTAGGCAGACTGTCTCTGCGAGAATGTTGCTTTTCCCTATTTCCCGAATCCGACTTCCCAATCACCCGTCAATCCGACTGAAACATATTCAGTGTTGAGGAACAAAGGCAAAAAGAAAGGAAGAAGGCAGTTTAGTTGTTATGGAAATGTACACAGCCACACACAACACTTGTAGGCTTTGTGATAGTGTCCAATTTACTCTGGCGTAATTACTCCTATTCGGACGTAGGACGTATTCCCTCCATCTTTTCCTTTCGGTTTTCTACCTATTCTTCTTAGAGAAATGCAATTTCTTTCTTCCATAGGAAGGCAAGAACAATGCATCGTACTTCCTTAAATGTCAAAACGGTCGGCTTGTGTTTTTGTGCTAATACTGGAGGCCCACCACTGGAACCTCGTGTCTAGAGGTTCGCTCCAGTATTACGGAACGTTTCTGGACAGACTCAATTCTAGTGTCTCAGCACAGTGGCTTCCTCCTATTTGCGTTTTCAGTGAAGAGACGTCCCGAACACAAGAACACTGGAGAAATTTTATTCACAATTGTTATTGAAATCTACACATTGTATCAGCACTGGGTTCTTAAAAGTGGTTTTAACACTTTATGGGAATATTGGATGACTAATTTGCAAGTAATTTAAAATATAACTTGATCACCTTAAGTATCGCAATTATTAACCTTAAAAATATACCTTCATGAATATTTCGATGGGTTAGATCAGAACAAGGAGACACATTAGCTTGGGAAGAGTTGGGCCAACTTCCTTCTTCCGCGTGACAGATTAGAGGAAATACCTTTCACCTATGGAAACATCACAATGCCACAATGCCATACCATAGATCTCGAATGGTAGAGGCGACACCTCGTCAATCGCGCATTGCTTATTTGACTCGACATTCTCAGATGTGTTTTAAATCTCACAGATTTGTCCGAAATTCGCGCACTATAAGAGAAGTAAAAAGGCGTTTTAGTAATAAATGGTAAAAGGAATAATGCAGTTTTATTGCTGCAAAACTGGATAACCACATGTAACAGAACGGGCTTTGAAGTGGCAGCAAACAACAACAAAGATATTGAGGCAGTGATTGACTTTGAAAGGCGTATTTGCATGAGGTATTATCCTCAAATTTTGGAACCATCTGAGGCATAGTTAGCCATCTATACTTTAAGAAGCCATGACAACGCTTCATTATCAATCTCTTTGTAGCTGAGACACTCCACCGAAGTGCGGTGCCCTGCAATCTTCTCTCAAGTCTCAGATGAGATGGACAGTAGTAAACTATCAATCGAATTGATTAAGTAACTAGTTGCAGTAATGCGTGTGAAAAAGAATGCCTTCATTATGCCTAAACACACATTTTCTTTAACTCATCCTAATGGATATAAATCTTTAACTGTTGATTTTGTATTTGTTCATTAAAATGATGGAATGTCAGTACAAACCGTAAATAAATTATGCAAACTTATTTGAGTTAATTTTCATGCACAAATCAAATGAGCTTTAGCCATCGTAAATAGCGGGAAGTTTGCGAGAACTCCGAGTGTTTCGATGAGGCAGATCCAAGTGATGTAGAGTCACTAGGAGTTAGTTTATTCAAACCTGGTCGGGTAAAACCGCTGATGCAGGCAACATAAAGGCTACACACAATTCCGCTGTTGCACAGAAACATTTTTCACTTAGAGGTAAAATATCCCTTGACCTAAGAGGTTCTTTCCAGAAATCTTTCATCTCTGGATTACCACCCACTTGGAAAGTTTTGTCCTTGTGTTTACTTCGAGTCTACACTTTTTAGAACTATCGTCATTTTATTTAAAGTGTATTCATTAGGAGGGAATAATGGAGAGTATATCATTTACTGATGAGGAGTGAAAGGAAAAGTGTTACTTTATTGCTTTGGGAAAATACATGATTATATATATGCGATTGCATAAGTATTTCTTTTCATACGTGGAACTTACTCACCATACTTGTCTCTTTCTAATTACGACCCCTTCAGTGAAGGCTGTGCTGATGCGTTCTTCGGGCCTCTTCTAATGTATCAAACTTTAAGTGGCCATTGTGCCATTTACTGGATAGGTGTAGTGCGTAGAACCATCCTGTACTTTGGCCGATGTTTATTCCTGTAAATTCGTTTCTGGCATGGATATAAATTGTGTACTGGCTGCTCACTTTTCTTCTATTGAAAATCTACTCTTGGTAGCTCGTTTGCTAGTGTAAAATATAGGACTGGAATCCATTTGCCACGATGATGGGCAATTTGAGGGTGACTAGTGTCGTATATCGCGCGAATTGACTAACAATGACTGGAAAGCAAATCAAGTAGCTTGACTTTTACGGAAAAGGAAAGAATTCCTGGATATTTTGAAGCGATGACTCCAAATGGGCAGTCACTGTTGATTGAATTATTCCTACATGATTTTGTTATAGTTAATACTACCAATTTGTGGGAGAAACTGCCTTTTACTGATTACCAATGGGAGGAGAATTGTGATTTTGATGTTGAAAACAAAAGACAGTTGCCTGATAGAGGCTGTCTTGAGACCAGACTTCTTGTAGTGGAGGCCCCGGTCGCCCTTTCACCACGGCTTGCACATTTCTTCTTTGAGTCTAAACTCCCATTTTTCTGTGATTCAGTCAAAAAATATTTAGTTGTAGATAATAGATTAGAAAATGCTTTTGAATCAAAGGTAGTAAAGCAAGAATGCACCTCCATTAACACAGAAAACTCCAAGATTTTGTGTAATAATAGGGGATTTTCAAATTGTGTTCCCTTTAAGTTCGTGAAACTCGTTCTACTAATCCATACCACCTGAAACACTATCCACTGTCCATTTCTGTGCTACTTTTTGTGCTTAATTTAATACTGTTCTCCAGTCTAGCCTAAGTTTGTCAATATACTGGAAAGTGCTTGAAATTCAAACAACTTCTAGAAAATCACCTTGCCCATTTCATGAATGGTAGAAGCTAATTACTGAAATCTAGTGCTTGGATTCTCGCTTCCCACAAAGAACTATTTCCTACAGCATAACTAACCACACATGTAACATTATGTGAATTCCGTGCATTGTTATGACCAAAACCCACTAAAGGCAGGTATTACCCTGACATATTAAGTAGTATAATGCATAATGGCATAGCCATAGCATTTAGACAGCTCAGCTAGTGAGCAGGAGACACAAGTAGTGAAGTGGGCCGCGGTTTACCCTTTGTTTCTCTTATACAGGTACGGAGAGTCCCAAAAGTCGTAGCGATCTAATCGCGGGTGAAAATTTGTTGGGTGCCTCTCACTCCGCATTTACCCACCCTGGTCCGTCGCCGGTGTCACCATCATCGTCGCCACACCAGTACACCACCTCTGAGTCACAGTAGAGTCTGTTTTCACAAGAAAAATTGTGTCGATTCAATGCATTGCCCTCCACAATTGTGTTGAGTCAACCGGTCATTTGGCTGACGGCCTCTTATCAGAGGACGTGATCTGGCTAGTCCAAGCTGTGTCCGATTGCGTCTCAATGCGATGAAATAAAATGAAGCAGAATCGAGCATGGACACGTAAGTGAGCCCTTAATTAATTAAACAAGTGCGATTTGTGGTAATTAAAAGGAGGAGTAAACAACCCGAAAAATGTCAGCGAGAGGAGCCTAATTAATCTGTCAGTTACGAATTTAAAATCGAGTGTTTATTTGGCGGGAGAATGGAAACAGATCTTAATAAAGTCAATTTCTGTCACTTGGACAAGTTGCGCTGGTCGTAGTAGGCACTTGATTATTGTAAGTGATCGACCAGATCTCAGGACTAGATAGACACGCGGTTTTGACAGCTCGTACCAAATCGCCTTTTTGCTAGAGTATTGCATTGTCCGAGATGAGCCCACCACTTTTTCGTGACACATTACATTAATGTGGTTTGCCGTTATGACACAGCAATAGATGAGGACCGCTTCCGATTCCAAAAAAAATTCTTCTGTAGCTCTTATCTCAACTACGTCAATGGTCAATATCCATTTCAACCACTTTAACCAACTATTTCGAAGGAACCTTTTGTTGTTAGAGTCGCAACCGCGGGAAACTCTGTCGTCTGTTCATACCTACTTCGTGATAAATCCCTTTCTTGGATCAGAGAGCCCTACCTACTCATTTTAAGAGCTATAAAAATCCAACAAATGCAATTCATCACCATCAGTACTGAAGTCAAACCAAAAGCGCTGCATCAGATTGAAGGTGCCTAAGAGTGAACACCCAAGCAAGATTCAAGACCTTACTGTTAAGCCAAAATGTTAATTTTTGGAAATATCAAGGTATATTTTCAACGGCTTGGGGACCGTAAAAGGGACAGTGACCGACGTGTCTGAAAGTGAAGTGGCTTTCACTTTCAGCCCTGTATCCGCGTTGAATAGCGTTGGTAGTGAGGAGTCTGGTAGTAGGGCAGACTCGACCATCTGACGCACTCGAACCATCTCCAATCATTCCATCCATTTGGATCGGTCGTTATAGTAATTTATACATCGCGCTCTACTGGTCAAGTATAATAAGGTCCAAACAAACCATTCATGTATCTCATCGCTCAGCTACCACCATTTATTTTCCTCCCCAATCTTTAGTTAATCTAATGATGATGACATTCGACAGAAGTCTATCGTTGCATCCCACCTCGATACAGTCAAATTTGTATACCCTCTGATCAGGGAAAATTTGTTTTGAACTACTTTATTCCACCTACCTCTAGCAGTGGTAACAGTTCAGCTTACTGGCTTGAAGAAGTAGCAACTGTGCGAAACCTTGCTTCCGGTTCAGGAGTGCTGCATGATACAGCCACTTTTACTACAGTGGATATTTTTATATTTCTCTCAGCTTGTTTTTAAGAGCAGACCTGTTAGGATTGATCTCCCCAGCTCAGTGATTAACTGGGATTTCATTAGTGTCCACACCCTAACCGGCCAAATATGCCGTTGAGCCTTTTGTACTTCCCTCAAGCCTCATGACTAAGGAAGCCGAAGACTTCAGGGTTTGAAGGCACTACTTGGATGGGTCTACTCACACCACTGCTTTAACAAAAAAGCTCTTGTCAGTTCTGTCTAGATATCTCAGTGTGTCACTGTCGTGAATGCCCATGTGTTAGTATAACTTGATGTTATGGCATTACAATAAGGGGGTAATGTCTTTCTGCTCACCCTATTCTTCCAAATACTGGCTGCGGTTTCAGCTCTTCTAACAGGCTGCTCTACGTCGTACATTTATTTTAAATGAGGCCGGTTAGAAAATAAACAAAGCTTTGCAAATAGTATGCAATTCTGTTTTCACCAAAACAGTCGTCTGCCATAAACTACCGACAAACTGTCAGTTCGTTAGCACGCACCCTCTCGGAAACCAAACATTCCACCTGTTGATGTTTAGGCCTATTCATGGTGTTGCGCTAATGTGTTGAAATAGTGACATTGGCACACCGTCAAAGTAAAGTAAATATTAGAAATGGAACGCTTAAGATATTGGCTTTCAGTCCTAAAACTTCAGAAAGTCGGAAGCTTGGCAACATTTACCTTTGCATTTAACGAAGACCTATCGAGGTGAGTCTACCACCGCGGCTGTTTTGTCAATGCAATTCTATTACTCCAACCCAAAAGTCTCAGTTTGTCTTAATTTTTGTAAAGGGAAGGAGAGGGAGCCTTGCGATGATCACTGTGAACCTACCGCCGTTAATGTGATTTGCTGTTGTTCCATTATAGTGGCGTGGAAACGTCATTATTCATGCGCTATCCACGACTTATTCTATTTCGTATACCTTCCATGAGTAGATGATTTTCGGGATAATAGGCACTAAAGCAGAATCCTCCAAATAGTTGATCACACAGCGGCTGCCTTTTTGATGCGTAGAGCTCTCTCCGGTCCTGCATCGTGGATTTACAACCGATCTAGGCGTTAATTTAAAAAAATTAGTTCTTATGGAAAATGAATACTTCTTACTTACCCATTTGCAATTTGAAAGGTCCATTAGGAAAAGGTTAATACTATTGCCACTGCTCCTGATGCTGCTTTGGCAACCATGCAGTTAGCATTTCTGCTTAGGCATCCCAGTCTGTCTCCGACTCTGTTACTAAAGAGGAAGATAATGATAAAGAGGGAAGAAAAAACCGATTTCGTTATAGTAAAGAGAGAGAGCGGGGGTAGGGGATGGAGACATTAATTAACTGGGTCGGGAGAGATGTCACTGTCTGGAATCACTTGATCAGATATATTGGCCAGAGAAAATATAGGGAAAGATGGAAATAGCGCCTGCGCGCACGCGTTTTAAGAATGGGCTGTCAGACGGGGTGGGCTAAAGACAAGAAGGCGGAGGAGGAGGATTGAGAAGGCAATGGCGTCTGCTGAATAACCTCCTAATCACTGACTGACTGAATAGCCGGATAAATAAATGGATGTTTGGATAAATAACTTCACCTTACCCCCTCATTCTCTTATCATTTAAGTGATGTGACGCCACGACCACTTACACACTGTTGACTTTACCCCACCACACACACGCTCGCCTGCGTCAGACAACTCTAGCCCTGTCTGGCTCCCAACTCCTGAGTTTTGATTGTGAAATTCCCTTCCATCTAGATACTATTATCTCTCCCCTGTGGCCATTATGCTAACCTAACTCCATGCTGAACCTGAAGGAAGCCTATTTTGAACCCCTCCACGACCAGAAGACATTGGCAGTCGTACACTTTCCCAACGGTACTCGTTTTGTCATGTTTTACTCCACCACTGCTACATATTCTTAATTGTGAAACTTTTTAGGAGGCTGTACTATTAACTAAGAAATGCGCTTACTGTGGCACTGAACAACTTTTTAAAGGTGAAAAACCATCAATCTTTTCAATACCTACTTTGCTTTGAAAGGGTCAGTTACCCGATGATCTACCGTAGTTGAAGTAGAAGTTAACACCAGGAGCTTTTCCTGAATTTTCCAGTCACCTTAATTACAATTGAGGCCGTGATTGATCTCCCCTAGATGTAATCGAATACGGTAAACAAAGAAGCATAAATTTAGTAATCTGTTAATTTTTCTACTTAAGAAGACCAATCAGTAGTTAGTATCAATCACGTGATAACTAAAATTGATGCATCTAAGTGTTAAACAGAAACAGCTCGTTATTGTAACTTGAGTTTAAGTAGAAAAGGCACTTTTCTTTGAAAAAAAAAATGAAATGTTAATGTGGAAATGTTCGCTAGACTTAAATCACATTTTAGAGGTACAGCTATTGTAAGCCCTAGCCTTCCCATTCCAAACAACTTTGGAGAGCCGCAATGAGTTCTCAAAGGACTGCGATTCAAGACCCATTGCGATATTTCTGTGGTGCAAAATAAATGTTGTCGTTTAAGCTACGCTTAAATTTTGTTGATAACTCATAGGCAGGATAAAATTAGGCAACTGACTTGATTGACTCTAGCCCCTCGGTCGCTGATTTTCAAATAAACCGGCTATTTTGCTGTTACTGGCCCCAAATCACGAATAGCACGAACGAAGAGCGTCGGGCGCTGATGACCGCCTTTGGCTAGACAAATCGTGGTCAGTTCCTCCGCCTCACCCTTCTCCCGTCCCCTCTCCCACCTCCCTACCCCTAATCCCGGCAGATGAGCGAGTATAAAATGGGGAGGAGGAGGGGGTGAAGGGCCAACGCAGGTAATCACATGATGGCAGGGGCATTAAAAGGGCCATTAATGTCAGATCAAAACACCTACTTATGGGCTGTGATGTGATGGGAATTTCGGTCACAAAATTCGCACCCTGGCGTGCATAAAATGGCCACCCTCGATGTCATTCTAGCCAGGCTTTATGGCCACATTGTGCTGCGTCAGCATGATTTTTTTACGTTCTAGTGAGGCCACAATTTGAAAATAAATGACGCTGCTACTGGACAAGGGCAAGTCAAGATTTTTAGGCCATCTCTCATCCTATTTGAAGGGGCGGCCTATCGAATGAACTGCGTCATGGCCTTCACTAAAAAGGCGATCAATTAGGCGCATCCAAAGGCTCCTCAAAATTTGATTCACTGGGTGCATAATAAACAATTTTTCGTAATTAGCTATTTATATATGCCATAAAAGTGTTATTGCATTACCTGTCTTTCAAAATTATGTCACGTTACTAGTCGGGTAGTGATGGTTTACCGATAGAGGCAAACTATCCCACGATCCGTTCTATGCTTATAGATAGGAGTGCATCAGTTGAAAGGATTTGCTTTTAGCTTTTCGAGTATAATTTTTTGACTCAGTAAACTTCAAATTGGGAATGTTATATTACCTAAATAGGTCCTCCTTGATTAAATAAGTTAGTTTAGTAAACTACTGGTTTTTCGTAAACCTAAACTAACACGCTGAAATGGAATT